AATCTTAACTGAAATTCAAGACATACTGACTAATTTCTAAATAGCAACCCTATAAAATGACTACCTTATGTCATTTATACTAGAATAAAAGACAAGAGGAATGAGAAATAAGGTTTAATGGATTTATTCAAGAAAATTTGGCATTGTATTCTAATAAAGTGGATGAAGGTCAGTATAGTTAGAGGATTCGAGAGATTTTCCCTCTCTCTCTATGTCTCTCCTTCATTGGGAAAAGAAAAGGCAAAGTAAAAGACTACTTTACGGGCAGAATAAAGAGGAATTACAGAAATAGCCATTTTTATGACTGCTATTTATGGATTAGTCAGTACTTATTTTGTTCTAAAAATTTGAACTAAAAACCTTTACTTCAGGTCTCTGTGTCCTGAAAAATTAAACCGAAAAAATAAAATTCCGGACATACTGACTAATTTCTAAATAGCAACCCTCTAGAATGACTACCTAATGTCATTTCTACTAGAATAAAAACAGGAGGAATGAGAAATAGGGTTTAATGGGTTTATTCAAAGAAATTTCACAATTCTATTGTAAAAATAGCACGGGATAGCCAGTTTTCGAACTGATAATTCAAAAATAGCCAGCGTTTGTAAATTCATTGAAAAATAACCACTATTTTACTGCAACACGGACCGGTCCAACATAATATACTGGAGATTAGTGCACCTGTATATGAACTTCCAGCATATTATGCTGGAACTCCAACACGCGAAAAGTTCTAGCATAATATACTGGAGATTGGAACACCTGTGTATGAACTTCCAGCATATTATGCTGGAACTCCAACACGCGAAAAGTTCTAGCATAATATACTGGAGATTGGAACACCTGTGTATGAACTTCCAGCATATTATGGTGGTCCGATGTATTATACTAGAACTCCTGTATAATATGCTATACTGGAACTCCAGTATATTATGCTGGAATATTTTTCGAATTTTGAACAGTGTTTTTGTTCAGATTTATCTTTACATGAAAAGTGGCTAAATTTTGATTACTTTTGAAATTGTGGCTATTTTTCAATTAGCACTTGTAAATCTGGCTATTTTTGAATTTCTCCCCATTCTATTTAATAGGCCCAATTTATAGTTATTGACACCTTGCAACTAAGGGCGGCATATGGGCCGGCCCGGTCGTAAGTGTGCTTCGTGGGCCGGTCCTAAGTGGGCCCAGTCCCAAATTAAACAGTCCTAAGTGGGCCCGTGGTTTCGCGGGGTTCTTGTTAGAACCGGCTCGGGACCGGGACCACAAACTAATGATCCCGGGTTAAGTGGGCCGGTCCCGGGGCTAAGTGGGCCCAACAAATACTTTCTATTTTATTTTTAAATTTTATAGAAGTTAGAGGGAAAAAAAATATTAATAAAAATATCTAAGGCAATTCCTTGTAAATTATATTATAGAATTGTGACCTAAATTTTTTAATTCAAATTTAAAGACAAAAATAGCGTAAAGAGATAATCAAAGCAATACAAAGTAATTAAAGCAAACAAAACTATAATATTAAAACTTAAGAGTTGGAACGAGTTTACCGAATTGACGAACAACTTGTTGAAAATTAATTATCGTTGAAGACTTGAAGTCTTCAATTCACCAACTTCATAATTTTGTACAAATTGTAACAATAAATTAAGCAATTGTAGAAGAAAATTAGAGAGAGATTGAGAGAGATTGATGATTTTGTGAGAAAAATGAAAGAATGAGGGGTATTTATAGTTGAAAATAGGGAAAAAGTATAATTATAAAAAGTTTGGGGTTAAAACAAAATTGGAGGGTTAAATAACTATTTTATAAATAGCCAATGGCTATTTTGGCAGAGGAAACGACTACATTTTAAATGACGAACAGATTTTTTTTAATTAAATTTAGAGCCGTTGGGACCGTTTAGGCCCGCTAGGACCGGTCTAGTCCCGCTCCCAAACAGTCCGGTCTCGCGAGCCTCGCGCAAAGGACCGGCCCACTTGCAGGCCCACCTCTCCCCGGTCTTAAACGGTTAGGACCGTTTAGACCCACTATTCATATGGGCCGCGGTCCTAGGCCGGCCCCGGTCCTGGATCGACCCACTTGCGAGGCTTACTTGCAACCCACATTCATATTTTAATTTGATAAATTAATATTTTATAGTCAAACTAGGTTAGCTTACAATAAATAAAGCAACTATCTGTCTCTCTCCTTTCTTTGTTCGAATGCCTCTACCCACTCTCCTTTCCATTAATTTTCTTCTATTTCTCCCCAAATCTTTCTCTTTAAAATTTTCAGTCTTTCCCAAATCTCTCCCACATTATTCTCCTCCAATAAATACTGCTGAAATCGTATAACTTTCGATTGGGTAATATTGCATTTTCTTGAAACATTTTAAGAAGTTTGAATATCGATTTTTGAATGTGTTTAGAGATGATTTAAGGCGAATTTGAGATGATTTTCAGATTGAAAACTATGAGATTGAAGAATGATCAATTTTGTGTATCTCCCTAAGTATATCCACATATATCACTTTATATGTCAGTATATATCACCATGTATATCCGTTTATCTCAGGTATAGTGGTGGCAAAATGGTTAAAAGAAAACAATCAGCCACTCATATTATCTACTAAAAATAGGTTGGATAATGAATTTTTTAAAAACGGATCAAATATGGATAAGAACCATATATCCATTTAAAAAATGGATAACCAATGGATAACTAATGAGTTTAACTTTTACATTTGTAAAGTCTCAAATTGGGTTCCTCAAGTTTGGGAGACTAAGAATTCTCCCAAAAGTGGTCATATTCAAGAAGTCACGGATAATATGGGTTATGGTTACTCATATTATCCGCCGGTTAACCTGTTTTTATCCGTACTAAATATGGGTCGGATCGGATAATTTATCCCTTTTTTCATTACCTGCTTTCGACCCGTCCCATATCCGACCCGATCCGACCGTTTGCTACCCCTACTTATATGTATCATGCATATTGATATACATGTCTATGCATATTAATAAAAATCTTGTGCAATATACACTGATATACAATATCAATGAAAATCTCGTGTGATATATACTGATACATAACATGAGATACAGAACTGATATATAACAGCCCAACTTGTATTGAATAATTGGTGATTGTTTGCGACTTTTTTGGACGAACCTGAATTTTGGAAGGGAACAAGCCTAAAATTAGGAGTTGAATATTTAGTATCTCCTAATTTTTGGTTCGTATGATATGATTTGGCTATACAGTGACAATTTTTTTGGCTTTAGTTGCTAAGACTAATCTTTAACTAAAATCTTGCCAATCATTATTAGGAGTGGTATGTACACGTCAAAATCCCATCATCCAATGTGTATGAATGAAGGTAATGGATTTTATCTGATGCGCTAATGGGTGACTTTTTTTTTTTTTTTTTTTTTTTTTTTTTTTTTTAACCTTTAGCTCGCGCCAGAAACTATTTACATTCGGTGGCCTAAAAAATATATAATTTTTATATATTTTTTTTATATATTTTTTATATATAACATACAAAATGTATATATACAAAATTTTTTAAAAAATATACATTTTTCGATTATTATTTTGAGAGCGGCTATACAGTATAGTTACGGGTAACAAACTGAAAAAGGGCTAAAAACTGGTACAAACCAAAAAAAGGGGCTAAAAATTATAAAAATTGCACGGGGAGCCCTGTTTGGTCGCTCCTTTTTAACTTGTATCCGTTTTATTTTTCCGTTTGCATCCGTACCAGTTTTTTTTTGTTAAAAATATTTTAAAAAGACAATTTTGCCCTTCTTTAATAAAAGACTATTGACAAAACTATAGACTGCAGGACAAAACTTCGAACATATTTTGGTATGAAGTTTTAGTAAATGAACTAAATAACTTCAGTATGCAGTAGCAAAAACTTATTAGAAAATTGCATATTGCAAGACAAAAACTTAAGCATGCTTAATCTGAAGTTTTAGCAAATTAACTAAAAAACTTCAGCTTGTTTAGACTGAAATTTCGGATAAAACTCATGAAAAAACTGTAGAATGCAGGACAAAACTTCAGCATATTTTGGTATGAAGGTTTAGCAAATGAACTAAACAACTTCAGCTTGTTTAGACTGAAATTTCGGATAAAACTCATGAAAAAACTGTAGAATGCAGGACAAAACTTCAGCATATTTTGGTATGAAGGTTTAGCAAATGAACTAAATAACTTCAGCATGCATTAGCAAAAACTCATTAGAAAATTACATACTGCAAGACAAAAACTTAAGCATAGTCTGAAGTTTTAGCAAATGAACTAAACAACTTCAGCTTGTTTAGACTGAAATTTTGGATAAAACTCATGACAAAACTGTAGACTGCAGGACAAAACTTCAACATGTTTTGGTATGAAATTTTAGCAAATGAACTAAATAACTTCAGCATGCATTAGCAAAAACTCATTAGAAAATTACATACTGCAAGAAAAAAATTTAAGAATATTTAGTCTGAAGTTTTAACAAATGAACTAAAAAACTTCAGATTGTTTAGATTGAAGTTTCAGATAAAACTCATGACAAAATTATAAACTGTAGGACAAAACTTCAGCATGTTTTGGTATGAAATTTTAGCAAATGAACTAAATAACTTCAGCATGCATTAGCAAAAACTCATTAGAAAATTACATACTGCTAGACAAAAACTTAAGCATGTTTAGTCTGAAATTTTAGCAAATGAACTAAAAAACTTCAGCATGTTTAGACTGAAGTTTCGGATCATGACAAAACTGTAGACTGCATGATAAATAACTTCAACATGCATTAGCATGATGTTTTAGCTTCAATGTGAATTTTCACGAATGAGGTTGCAGATCACGCGATTAATGCGTGACGCAGGTTTTATATTTTTTTTCACGGGTATAATTATCATATTATTACGAATTTTTTGTCAGGTGGTTACCAAATCAATAAGTTTTAAAAATAGGGTACAAGTTAAAAAGTGACACAAATATAGGGTACGACTGCAAATCCCCGCTAAAAACTGGTGCAGAAACACCCTTGTGAACTTTCTCGTAATTATATCATTAAAGAATAAGGAAGAGACAGGACAAACAAATAATAAGAAAACCGACCTAACACATAAGGTAACAATCCTATCAATGACCAGGCAGCTTCAACTGCAACATGCGTATTGCTTTAAAAGGACAAAAGGAGTAAAGAGACTATTCCACTATTAAAAGAACTGTAATGCAAGGAACCATACCGCGTATACGCAGAGAATCTGCATGGGAAAGGTGAGTATACAAAGCACGTCAAGAAAAATCAATCATTAAAGGTTCATCAGGAACACTTGGTTTCTTATTATCTGGTGCAGGGGTTGGACCCGTGGCTGAAGTCGATGGAACAATTTCACCTGTTGTAGATGGTTCTACAGCAGCTGATGTTGATAAGACCAAGGCCTGATTGTCTGAAGGCTTTTCATTCAATGCTAGTGGATCAGGAACAATTGATTCAGCTGCAACTGAAGCATCCGAGTTTGATGCTCGGGTTGTAATTGATTCTGCAGCAGCGGCACCAGTTTCTGTCGCAGGTGCAGTACCAGTCTCTGACGCAGGTGCAGCACCAGTTTCTGTCGCAGGTGCAGCAGTGGTTTCTGTCGCAGGTGCAGCACCAGAGTCCGCCGCAGGTGGATTACTTGATTCCGGTGTAGTTGAAGCCCCATTTTCTGATTTAGGAGGGCCGCCTGATTCTGATGTTGCAGTTGTGTCGCTTCCAGCAGGAACAGAAGCAATTGGTGCTGTCGTTTTAGATCCTTCTAAAAGTAGTGGTTTGCCAGGTTGTGGAAGGCCCTGTTTCCCCAAAAGAGGTTTGGCTTGACCGGGATTAGGACCATATAGAGATGCCATACCAGGTGGCAGTATTTCAATTGGTGGCTTCTTTGCAGCATCTGCCAAACTCGTGAGCTTAGGTCCCTCGAGAGAGGCCAGAAATGCAGCTGCTGCATCAGTTTTCATTGATGGAGTGTGTTCCATCTCCTTCTGCAACGTTTTGTTCCACGACTGGACCAAGGTTCTCAATGAAGGTCGCCCATGAGCCTGAAAATAATGAGACCATTAATAACAACTACTAAATCAAGAGATTGAAATCCAACATTTACAGCTTGTTTGGATGATTGTTATGTATCGTTTCATAATGTATCATATATTATTGTATTGTATTGTACTGTATCATTTTGATGTATACAATTTTGGATAAATTGTATTGTTTACCGTCGTTTCATGATGTCATGTACCAACAATATAAAGAGTAAAATTACAATATTGTAAAGAAAAAGTAAGTTACGAGATAGAATTATTATATAAAAAGGTAGGGTAAAGGATAAAATAGAATTATCTAATAATACATAAGGACGGACAAGATGAGAGAAAAAGATAAGATAACGATGTGACCACACCAAATCGGTCGTTGCATAAAGTGGCAGTTTTCGTCGTTACATAACGACGGATTTAACGATACGATACAATAAAATTTAAGTAACAATCAAAACAAATATTGTATTTAAAGTAACAATACAATACGATACAATACAACAGGTAACAACTATCCAAACAAGCTATTAGAGAATAAAATTTTACATGTGCATGTAGTACAGCCTCAGCAAGCATCCCAGTTTCCTGCCATGCTTTCTCCATAAGTACATTGTCTCCCAAAAGTGCAGCTGCAAATGCAGCCTCCCGTCCCGCACCAACTGATATCAAATTGTTTACCAAGTTCTGCCAAAGATTTATCAGTCACTACGCAAGGAATTTAGAAATCTCTAAAAATCATTTAGCAAATATACGCTGAATCTGACATGCAGCTGATTCAATCGATCTCAAAATTCACAAGGAACTCCTATCATGCTAGCAGAGTCGAGTGAAGGGGGATGACAAATATACTAGAAGATGAAAAACTGAACGTATCCTTTGATTTTGATTGCTTTCTTTATTCCTTTAGACCCAGAAGTATGGGAAAAGAATATAATGTAGAAATGTAAATCAATGGTTAATCTGAAGGTCAAATCAATTTAAATCTGATAGCATAGATGGGCAATTCAGACTTGGGGAAGTTTATTATCAATGGAAAAGGTATGAAGGCCGCCAAGAGCCAGTTAGTAAAATTCTATGTATATGAGGATCTGAAACAAAACCAGAAAAGAAGCAGGTGGCATACTCCAGTCGTGTCAGCAAAACCAAATGGAAACAAATGCAGAAACAAAGCAAGTGACATACACTGAGTCGTGTTAACTCCCCATGATTTGCAAGCCGTAAAGCAACGCCTCTTAATTCCTGACCTCGTAGAGCTCCCTTTATGGAACCAGCAGCTGCTAGTCTTTTAAGAGCTTCACGAGCAATCTCAGCTTGTGCTGTCGCATCTGCAGCATCAATGAGATCCATAAACTCCGTGGCAAATTTAACTACTCCTTGAACAGCTTCAACAACATTTTCCTTCTTCTTTGTCATGTTCATAAGATCGTTCAGATCCAATCCAAGAGTTTCTTGCCCAATATCTCTGCTGTTGCTCATTATTAGAAGGCACTGAAGTGCTCTTTTCAAATCATTGCTCTGCAGGGCCAGATCAAACTCCAACCTCTTGGATAATCCAGGTAAATGAAGTGCTTCAGTAGCATAACCCATCCCAAGCATAAATTGCGCTAGATCATCATGATGCTCGCGGCCAAGTCGACTGGCCCATTTTACTGCACTAACAGCATCTCCATAAGCCGCCAAACATCGGCAACGGATACCAGGATGGCTGAGGGATATTGCATGGGCGCACATGTATCGATCAATTAGCCAAAGAACACCATCTCGAACACCTACAATTAGAAGAGGTCCA